TGCTGTGATGCACACTGCTGCAGGAGATAGTGACCATGGAAAACTGTGATGCGCTAGGCACTACATCAGTGACAGAACCAAGTGGTGATTGGGCAGTGGACCATACGCTCAGCTGCATGGTGAGGCAATCAGTACTAATGGGCTCGAGCTAGTTTTGAGTAAATTATTTGGTTTTGGTTGAAAAGTTTGGCAAGTTTTTTTGGGTGTTCTGATGCTTCGAGTCTTGTGAATCCAGTAATTGTTTGAAAAACTCCACTGACTTTCTGGATCTTTTCATAGTGAAATGACAATGTCATTTGCTCCTTGTGCCTCTGTGAGGTGGGGGCCAGGTTTTGGCTCTAGTTCCAGGTAGGTCAACAAGCTGAATTCCTACAACTGACGTGATTAAGAATAAGGCAATCTCAGTGAGATAGCAACAGGAAACCACCAAGGGTCTCCCCTGTATCTTCCATTAATAGGACTGAACCTATGGGAAATCTCATTTAACAATTCGAACAAATGCTTTATGAACACCCTTTCAGAATGTAACCTGTTCATAGTTGGGGACTCCCTATAATTGGAATGAACTCTTGTTCGAGTTTTTTTTTATCTAAACCAAATAGTAATTCTGGTTAAAAGATGACATAAGAAACCTAAATAAAATAGAATGTGAATTTTTAGATATTTCCAGTGAAAGAGTCGGCTAACTTGAATGTTCAACTAACTTGACTGAGAGCGATTCAAACATGATTCAAAATATCAAGCACAAACAGTACTGTCCTAAATGTAATAAAAGGAAATACTGTATACATGGCTATGTTAAGATTATGTTAAAGCATTTATGGCTACATATCTGTTAACGGTCATACTGTACTCCACTGTAAGGTTATAGAAAATCTATTAAACCTATAGGATGTAAACTAAATGTATTATGAATACTCACAACGTGGACCCAGTCTCGCTGGCCCTCACCCCCTGGCTGGTTAAACTTGTATGGCGAGATGTCAATCAAGGAGGAGAGATGGCCATGGTAAGCACTGTGGAAGAACATGGAGGAACAATCATCACTTCAAAGACCAGTACAGTCCAATAGCAATGTTTGTATACATTTATTGCAGCTACTGATACATTTATGCTAGATTACAGTGAATTTTTATTATATGCTTACTTTTGCATTATAAAACATAGTGGTTTATTAAAATTATTATAAATAACGTAGTATAACATTTATGTCAGACAATTAAAAGAAGAAAAATATGCATTATTATTTTAGGCAAGAGTATAATCTAGTTGTTGATTTGTGTTCAGTATTTGTCAGAGTCAGTTTTGAGTTTTAGATCTTTTAGGCAATTTACATTACTGAAGGCTGTCTTAGGTTAATAAATATACCAATTGAGATTATACTATTGTTGAGTGATGAATTGAACAAGTCTTGTGAACTTTTAATTAAATTCTATCAGATACAGGACAGGACAGGACAGGACAGGATGTATATGTGTGTGTGTGTGTGTGTGTGTGTGTGTGTGTGTGTGTGTGTGTGTGTGTGTGTGTGTGTGTGTGTGTGTGTGTGTGTGTGTGTGTGTGTATATACATACATACATACATACATACATACATACGAATTACTTAATGAAACGAACAGAGAGAAAGATCTAGGAGTTGATATCACACCAAACCTGTCTCCTGAAGCCCACATAAAAAGAATAACGTCTGCGGCATATGCGAGGCTGGCTAACATCAGAACAGCGTTCAGGAACCTGTGTAAGGAATCATTCAGAATCTTGTACACCACATATGTAAGACCAATCCTGGAGTATGCGGCCCCAGCATGGAGCCCGTACCTTGTCAAGCACAAGACGAAGCTGGAAAAAGGCCTAAGGTATGCCACTAGACTAGTCCTAGAACTAAGAGGCATGAGTTACGAGGAAAGGCTGCGGGAAATGCACCTTACGACACTGGAAGACAGAAGAGTAAGGGGAGACATGATCACAACCTACAAAATCCTTAGAGGAATCGACCGGGTAAACAAGGATGAACTATTCAACACTGGTGGGACGCGAACAAGGGGACACAGGTGGAAACTGAGTACCCACATGAGCCACAGAGACGTTAGAAGGAACTTTTTCAGTGTCAGAGTAGTTAACGGATGGAATGCACTAGGCAGTGATGTGGTGGAGGCTGACTCTATACACAGTTTTAAATGTAGATATGATAGAGCCCAGTAGGCTCAGGAATCTGTACACCAGTTGATTGACAGTTGAGAGGCGGGACCAAAGAGCCAAAGCTCAACCCCCGCAAGCACAAATAGGTGAGTACAAATAGGTGAGTACATTCATTAGACTCAGTGACACTATTACCCTTCCCCATTAGGAAAATTATCCAAGGTTTTGTGACTACACTTGGTTCTGGTCCCCAGAATGGAGAGCCATTACCTTCAAGCAGAAAGTTTATCTGACTTTACCCAAGAGCTACACTCTCTAGTGGCTTCGATGGAAACAAAGCGAACAGCATCTCAATTACAGCAGGTTTTTTTAGAGCCAAATTTTAAATTAAAGTAGTCTTAGTACTTACAGATTCAGTTAGGAATGCCATGGCTTATAACTATATGGGTTCAAAAGCATCTCCTGTTTTCTATCCTGCAGTGTGGCTTGTAAATCTTGAAGTTGTTGACCTTTGTTTGCATTACATTTAACCTTATTAAAAAGTGGTTTTGATTAATATCCTCCAACTTGTTCAGTACTTTCAAGTTCTCGTGTCTTGGTTTGCAGTGGTGTTAGTCCTGTGGCCCTCAACCATTCCTGGTATGAACTGACATGGTTATGAGATTTTTGTGATTCTTGAACTTTCTCTACAGCAGAAATGCTTCTTGAAGGCAAAATTTCCATACAGTAGTCCAGATGGGGGCACACTAAAGACTTGTACTGCTTAATAACCACCACCTTTTCGTTGAAGTCAAAGGTTCTTATGAGTATTCCTAAGCTTTGGATGGGATTATATTTTATTTCAGCTCCTCCTTCTTGAACAACTTTCAATAACTAGTGGAGCATAACACCTAGGTCATTTTCTTCATCAATTTGCTGCATGGTCGTGTTGTTAATATGATAGTTCTGATGTGTACTGTTATGCTCTACATAAAAGTCTTATCTTTTTCAATATTGAAAAGCATTTCCCAGTCATCTGACCATTTGTGGCATTCCTGTAGATTGCTTTGCAAGGACTATCATTTTTGCTACCTGTTTTACCATAGAACTTGGTAAAACACAAATTTGGTTATGTTTATAACATACAATATATTGTACATAAATGACAGTGATGAAAATAAGTATTAGCCCCAAGATGGAACCTAGCAATACTTAAATCACCATTTGTATCAGTTATATTCATATCAATTTTGGATGACCTTTGTTTTCAACCATTGTTTCTGTGAAGTCTCTCTTCGGCTCCCCAGAGCTATACCGGGCTGATGTGTATATATTAGACGATATACAGTCTAATATATACACGTCAATCGATGGAGCTATATATGGTAACATTCTATCGATGGAGTTCTAAGCCTACCGGGGACTAGAGCCAGAACCTGGCCCTCTCAAAGAGGCATGAGGAGCAATGGTCAATAGACACCCCCATGCAGTTGGAAGCATTCTATATCTGCCATCTACTGGGTCAAGCACCCAGAAATAGGGTACGAATCCAAAAACAAACTACAGCTGGTTAAAAATTGCAAACTGAAAGCCGAACAAGCAAGCAGAACTCCCCAATCAGAAAACAAGCATGACGTCACCACAGTCGCAGCACCACTGTCTGCACAACTTCCCGCTCCCCAGAAGGGGAAAGATGGAACCACAGACCTCCCGCGGCAGCAACCGAACCTCAGTTCTGAGGCTGTTGAGTGGCGGTTGATCGACTCTGGCTCCATCCTTCGAGCAGTGCTGTTCCTTACGGTGTTGTTTTGCTGTGTGGTGGTGTTTGAGTCAGGTGTAATACACGAAGCACTGGGGCTGCATGCACCTAGGGTCACCTTCCCTAGGTGCCCTGTAAATCTGCCCTTGCAGTTTGCGTTACCTTTTACAAACTATTCGGGAACTACCTCCGCAGGGTTCTTGTGCTGCTCGGTGATTACCCACCCTTGGAGTCAACTGGGGGGTTTTTCCCACCATTGTTTGGCCTTTGGTAGGAGGTAGTATTATTGCCACTGGCTGGGGCATGAGGGACTGTGCAGCTGGTTCAAAACATGCGTAGCAGCCAGTTCTGTTCCTCTTGAAGACATGGTACTTTCGCTGGGTGTTTTTTTATTTTCTGGGGGAGCCCCTTCGGCTCCCCAGAGCTATCCAGGCTGATATATTAATGTCAGACTTTGGCATCAGTCATGTGTGTGGAGTTCTGCGAGCCTACCAGGTACTATGAGCCAGAACCTGGCCCCCCCTCAGAGAGGCAAGGGGAGCAATGGCCTATAGAAACCCCCGTGTGGTTGGCAGCATTCTGTCTGCCATCGACCGGGTCAAGCACCCAGAAAGGTAAGCAACCCAAAACAAACCCCTATTCTGGTGAAAATTGCTACAAAAAGCCGAACAAGTGGATAGAACTCCCCAAAAAGAAACGAGCATGACGTCACACATCGCAGTGCCGCTGTCTGCGCAGCTTCCCCCTCCCCGGGAGGGGAAAGGGGGAGCCCCAGACTCCTGTGTCGGCCATCCACCCTTCAGTTCTCAGACTGATGCTAGAGGCAGAGGTCGTGTGCTCTGGCTCCAGCGATTTTTCCAGCACTGTACTTCGTGTGTGGTGGCTGTCTTCCAGGGGTGTGCCAGTCAGGCGTTATTCTACAGTACTTAATGATAATAATAATAATAATATTTTATTTAGGAAAAGTACATACATAGATGCAGTTACAAACAATTTGATTTATAGATAGAGGTAGTACATACAATACCTAAAGCCACTGTTACGCATAGCGTTTCGGGCAAGGTGAGGTGGGGGAAAAAACACTTAGACTAAAACTCCCTGCAATACCTCAAATCTTACCTTACAGACAGGCTCCAGGTTGTTTCTGTGAATAATTCCATTTCTCCCACCCTACCCAACAACATCGGTGTTCCTCAAGGCAGCATACTTGGCCCTCTCCTCTTTCTCATCTACATTAATGACCTTCCAAATGCCTCCCAACACCTCAAACCAATTCTATTTGCTGACGACACAACCTTCATTTATTCCAGTCCTGACCCCCTTGCTCTTAATGTCACAGTAAATACTGAGCTAAATAAAGTCCATCTTTGGCTAACTGCCAACAAACTCACCCTCAACATTGACAAAACTTTCTATATTTTGTTTGGCAATAAATCCTCAAATCAAATAAATCTCAGGATAAATAATACCCAAATTTGTAACAAAATAGATGGCAAATTCCTTGGCGTTCTCATTGACCACAAGCTGAATTTCCAGGGACACATTCTAAATATATCAAAAAAAGTTTCAAAACCTATTGGCATTCTTTCTAAGATCAGATATTATGTACCTCGCCCTGCCCTGGTGACGCTCTATTACTCTCTCATATATTCTTATCTCAACTATGGTATTTATGCTTGGGGTTCTACTACCCAAAATCATTTACGTCCTCTAATTACCCAACACAAAGCTTCCATTAGAACAATATCTAACTCTGGCCCCAGACAGCACTCGGTACCCTTACTCAAATCTCTGAATATATTAGATATTAAGTCACTGCACATCCTCTCATGTGTACTCTATATATTTAAAACTCTGAATTGTAATATCAATCCTGACCTTAAAAGCTTCTAAGAAGGTTGCAACAGAACCCATGGGCACCACACCAGGAGAGGCAGAACGGAGAGGTCAGAAATAGTAGCACGGAGAGTAAAGAGGCGCCAGTCAGCCTCGGCAAACCGCCACCTAGGGAAGGAGAGAGGAGGGTGAAAAGAGAAAAAGTAATAAGGATAGGAAAATGGTCACTGACATGGAGGTCATCAAGGACCCGTCACCCGAAATCTAAGGAAAGGGATGACGAGCACAGAGAAAGATCGAG